TTGGCCCGCAACCTCTTGCGCGCTTTTGCTAAAAGATGAGTCGGGGCATGTTCGATACGCTTCAGTTGTAATAAGCCTGTAATTTTAAAACTCTTTATGGCATTCTGATACTTATAGGTAAGTACTAAAGAGCTTTTTACCGTGTACAAAGTGTAGATATTTCACGTGTACGTGGCTCGCCGTACATCGCCGTGGGGCGTAGTTAAATTGGTCACATTTTACAAAGCAACGTTACACCCTACCATCACGCGTGCCGACCTCAAAATTATAGTATTATTTCAAAATTCGAACAAAAAGTCCGTAAGCTGTACTTTTGAATTTCGAATGCAAAGATATTGGTATTGCCAGTTCTAATTACTTTTAGAACATAAATTAGCAGCTTTTAGCCGTGTTATTACCGCTTTCTTTATATGTATGTTTTTGATATCATTGAGTTGTTTAATTGTTTTGCGGTTTCTTTTCGTACGCGTTATTAAAGCTGGCTTATTAAACGTAATGAATAGAAGTTTTTTTATATACATTTAATTATGTATTAATAGCATAGCATTATTAACAGTTTAGTTCAATATTTCAAACCGTCTTTGAGTTGGTACTACTACGAAATGCGAAAATACAAATACGACTTAAAATCTATATATTAAAATTTTAGATCAATTTGATAAGGAAGGACAACAAATATCCACGCTTGTTACAGTTTCATGCAAAAAAGGCTGGATGGATTTTGGTAGAACAGAATTGGACAGTTCAATTTTTTAAGATAGCTGACCTAGCAGATGTTTTTTTGCCATATGAAGTATTTCGATTAAATTTACCATAAAATAATTTCTTGCGAATCTTAAGAGATAGACATTTAATGAGGAATCATTCTTCTATACCTTATAAACATTTTTGACGTTTGCGTATGGCACGCAACGGAATCCCTCGAAGATGAATAATGTTTCCCATTTTCCCACATTTACCCTCGTTTTTTGTTCCAATTCTTGGCCGCTGACTTACGATTGTTCTTTAATAAATGCTTCAAACAACACAAATAGGATTTTTTAATTCGAACCAGTAGTTACTAAGATTAGCGCGTCCAAACAAGATCTTCAGCTTTGTAATATTAAGTAGTACGGATTAGGCATATTTTTATTTCATTATCTATCTGTATCTACTGATTTATATTTTGCCTGGTAGCTCTGTAGTTCGAAGTTAGACCGTGTATCGCTTTAAGAAAACAACACTCCAAGGCGGTCTAACTTTCATGTTTAAAAATAGCGATCCGTATTTACCAGATTTATTCACTCTCATTAAAACAATTATTTATTGTTTACGCTTGATTATGTGTAAAGACACAGCGCATAGTTATCGTATCAAATTAACATTTAAAACTAACCAAAATCTATGCGTGTTAGTTTACAGTACCATTTTAACTTGAGCTCCGAGAGAAGGAACTAGATATGGGGAGGCCGGTCCCGAATTCTGGTCGCGTCGGTATAGCGACCAATTAACAAATAACAAACTTATCCGTAACAAATTCTCGTACAGTTTTAACAATTTTAATTTTCGAACGCTCATGCAAATTGACATAGGATTTTAGGTGGTGTACACATGGTGGTCTCACGACTGCACAAAAAAAAGGGAGAAATGGTTTTGACATATTGTGTTTATGCCCTTATGATAATGGCATTGTATTATATGAATTGGTATATAGAACGGTATTCAGTTTCTCGTTGGTTCGAATGCCGCCTGTATTTTGTAGATACTTAAATAATTTTAAATTAATATTTCACATGAAACATGCACATGAGAGAATGTATCCCATATACTGTCTATAGTTTACGCGAGTTGTACACATTTAAATAAAACATTTTAACGGTTTAAAACGCGATATATTAGTTACAACTAAGTTACTTGTAACTAATATATCGCGTTTTAAACCGTTAAAGTGTTTTATTTAAATGTATGGCATAACCAATTCGTCCATCCATTGGAAACGGGTCGTAGATTCGATCACTACCGGGTCGAACACGTTTTTGATTAATCTATTTTCTAAAACATGTCGGATTTCGTTAACCTTGGTTTTATAGATCTAGATATTAAATGGCCCATAGGAATATCGATAGCCGTCCAGGTCACGAACCTCCGTCACAGACGAAGTAAAGTATAATCGCGTTTCGGTATCCGTCTGTGAATTTCCGAGTATCCAAAGCCATAGGTCGATAACTTATCTTTTTTGGATGTTATATAGCCGGGGTATTTACACCTTTTAAAAAGGAAACAACGTTTAAATAAAACAAAGCATTCGAAACGTAGGGCCGTAGTTAAATGATTTGAAACAAAGTTAACTAATATATTTTGCATTTAAAACTGTTAGTGTTATATTATCTGTGATCTGTGTATGCTTATCTCTGATCCTGTGTACTATAAAAAAGATTTTTCTCGAAGCATCTGGCGTTTTATTTTAACAATACTTAATATTGTACTGGGTACATCGCTCGTAGAAGTGACAGCCGTTGTGGCAAAAGGGTTCTGGAGTGGAGACCACGTACTGGACGTCGAAAACCTGGACGACCTCCTACCAGGTGGACCGACGACCTGGTCAAGGTAGCAGCGAAACGCTGGATTCAACTAGCGAACGACCGGTCGTACTGGAAGTCAATGGACATTGAACGGCAGAATCGACTTAATATTGTTAAAGTAAAAGTATCAATTTCTCGAACCGTTTTCCTTACCTTAACTTGTAACCTAGCCTTAACAACACATTCGCATCGGCACGCGACACGAACATCGTAACATCGCTCAGCGAATATTCGAATTATGAAAGCATCGATGTAACGAATCGATTACAAATATTTTACATCACTATTCTTAATTAGAGGTCAGTACTTAGAAAGCGCGGTAAAGCTTTGGTAATTATAGGTTCCCACTCCGTTTGTCCACAGTTCGATTCTCGGTCGTGTAAGAAAATATTTATCATTTTGTACATATTAACACGTGCACTCTGATGAAGGATGATAACATAGTTGGCAATTCGGTAGGTCTTAACTTTACTCGATTAGACCCGATTATATAAATTCTTCTAATAAACTTCACTAATCTTCTTCTATAGACGGGCTTGTGTGGAAACCTGCGCTGCTCTGCATCCAGGACAGCTGAGACTGGTACGGATTGCCATTCATATATTTATTTATTCTACTTTATTATTTATCTTTTATTGATTTACGAAATTTAAAGTTAACTCTCATTTAGTCTGCGGTGGCAATAGTTTAATTAAAAATCAAACTATTTAAATTAAAAATAAAACACGGGCGGGACTTGAACCCGTTTAGTTTATTCTATAAATTCTGTATTTTTAAATTGTGAAATTTAAGTAAGTGCGAAGTATGTAACGTACTATTTACTGAGGACAAAGATAACTATACTACCAACACTCAGTTACACAAATATCAAGATAATTGTGTATGTATGTCTTCATCCTAGCTACTTAAAAAGTCGAATCTCGCTTACCCTGTCTGAAACAGTCATACGTTTTAGGAACAACCTAGTAGTTAGACTTTGCTCTTCTCATCAAAACTATTGCTATCATAGCTTTTAACTGTACCGCTTAGCTATGCGTTTACTAGGAAGTTGCTATATATTTCAGTTATCTAGTAGATGCTTAGACGAAAAATAAAATCAGAGGTTAAGTGTTTATTAGAAATTACAACCTTTTTCCAGGACTCGGTAGCTCAAATGGATAGAGCAACAGAACGGTATGCTTTATTAATCGTATTTTTTTTTAATATGTATTTTAGAAATTACAAGTTAAATAGATAATTCAGAAATAGAAGAATCTTATTTTAGATGTTTATAAACCTATGAGGATAAGGTAAGAAGAGAAACACATATTTGAGAACACATAAATTTTATTATTTACAAGGAATTATGTACGATAGCGTAGTACATTACGTACTATATAGTAGGAACAGGAGTAAGTCATATTTACTTATATAAGTCAAGGTTTATTCTAGGCATCTCAACACTAGTTTACGAGATAATACGTTCACAATTTAAACAGAAATGTTAAACAGATTGCTTAAAAAATATATAAGTATTGCCGTAGATACATTTTAAACAGCATTTTTCCTTAAAAATGGTTTTTGAATAAAATCGGGTAATATAGCAAAATAATAACTGCGTATTCATTGTTCCTACTAATTATGATCATAAAAAATATCGCTGTAAAATTATATAATTGCCTCAATATTATTTACTTTATGTCTTTGTTGTATTACTATGTCTTACTTTAACACCAACGAAAAAAGTTATAGGTACCTATTTGTATGTTCTTTTTGCGCAATTTTTACGGTATGTATGAATAAGTAGAGAAATCAACGAAGATTAATTTTATTTAGATCCGACATTCTGAAGAAACGTTTAGACTTGTTTAAAAAAGTTTTTTTTTTTCGAGTGGATATAGACTTAACTACATGACAAGAGTGGTACATAATTATATGTAATACAACAAAGGACTACAGGTCTGAATTATCGCATCTTAACGTAAATCTCTATAATAATCTACTCTGTACATAAGTTATTTACAAGATAATGTTAGCATCTCTGGCATAAAAGACAAATCAATTTATTGCACTTGTGGTAACAATATCCCGGGTGAGTTTCAATTATTAATATGATCCTATTGTGAACCCTTTGTATTTTCTAATAAAACCATTTCCCCAAATAACTTATATAACATTAAATAACATATATCTGATATTGTCGTATAATATTGCAGAGTCCTTGATGCCAGATTTAATAAATAAATTAAGTAACTCTATTAAGTACATCTACTTAAATCATAAACTATCACATTTATACTCATTTGTACAGCGTTCTAAGTATTTACATATTAAAAAACGACACCACTAGTTCGAAGCACATTCGATGTAGTCCTATCGATAATTCACAGTTCGATTCGATTAATAATCGAGTAAGCGTCTATCATAGACATCTGGCGCGATAGACCGCGCCGACTCGTTTCATTTGGACGCGTTAACCACTAAATTCGTCGCTGCCTCCTCACTGGCACCTATGCTCATGGCCTTCTTCTTCAGAATGCCCAAATCGGTGACGTTCTCAAGGAAACTCTTGTGCGCGGACAATACTTTAGCGCTCTCGACATCTTTTTTTAACTCCTCCATATCTCTTTTCAGTTTGGCTCGTCGGTTTTGGAACCACGTGATTACCTGGGCGTTCGAGAGGCCCAGTGAACTGGCGATTTCGTCTCTGTCGGCTGGTGATAGGTATTTCTGGTAGAGGAACCGTTTTTCGAGCTCAAATATCTGATGATTGGTGAATGCCGTTCGGGACTTCCGCTTCTTCTTTGGCTGCGGTCGTGAGTTGAAGAGATTTAGATGATTTGACTGACCATCTGTAACAAGAAATAAGAATGATTAATATCATATATTTCTTTTTGTAATTCATATGTTCAGGGGGGATTATACTGTACTATGTATTATAGTGTTCACCATTAACTCAATTAAACTATATAACTAACGTACATCATACTGATAATTATATGATTATTATCACGGACTTAAAAGGTACTCTTTCGTTTGTATATCACGGACATTGTATAACACAAAAGACTACATAATTCCTAGTAACGAGCTAGTAAAAAGTAAGAAAGCGTAAAAACTAACAGAACAACGAACAAAGCTAATTGAAATAAAAAGTCGAAATTTTCAAAAGCCGTCACGAAATTGTCGATACACCGGCCATGCGTATCGATTACCGACTAGCGAGTTTATTGATTATACAGCCCTAGTCGGGCTAGTAACAAGATGTCATATCGATTACACGCCGCCCTCTAAGTTTGTACTCCCACATCCCTATAGGACGGTAATGTATAGGATACATGTTACAATGCTGTTTAGAACACTGGAATACGTGATGTTATTCTGTTTCATTTAAATAGTCGTGATAGTGATGAGAAATCGTTAACCCGAGTTAGTGTGCATGTAAATCTATACACTATGGTATGTTAAAAATTCCACCTTTTTAAAGTTGAAGTAAAATGTCTCTTGTTTCACTGATATTGTTATTATTATTATAGCTTTATTATTTATAAACCATACTACAAAAAAAAGAAACACGTATAAAATGATAGTTAGTGTCTTGACCAAAACTATTATGTTTTCTCGAGATTTTAACGTATTGAGTTAGGAGTTAATGCTTTTAAACATTAGGGTCCACACACTAGGGACGGAAAGGATCGTAACTAACCCAGCTTCAAATGTTTGTTTAAACTCCCTACTGCAACGCACACTAATCGGAATCGTAACGTAATCGCCTCGCCTCGGAACTTGCAATTCCGCGCTTACGGCTCATCGTCCCCGCGCTTACGGCTCATCGTCCCCGCGCTTACGGCTCATCGTCCCCGCGCTTACGTCCCTCCGTCCCCGCGCTTGCGTCCTCCTTGCAGCCAGCGGGCGACGAGGCGTAAGCGCGGTGTCGCCTAGCCGTAGCCGAGTTGACGTACAGGCGCTGCTGATACGCTTACGTTACGTGCACGGTAGGTGACGCCTGGTGAGCAGGCGAAAGCGACGACACCCTTTCCATCCCATATGCGTGCTGAGACCATAAACCGTAAAGGCTCTAAGAAGGTTCTAAGAAATAACAACTAATGTGGAGAAATTCTAATTTTTCTACTGTGTAATAATCTATGTGATTAATATAGACTATTCGGCCGGAAGTACTGTATCTGTGGCATTAGAAATGGCGCGAAAAAATCACAGACCCGGTGACACCGGGTCAGGTGCACAGACTGCACACAAGTCAACACCGTGTCTGATTGAGAATTTTTTACAGAGCGCGGCTTAACGATGTCTTTGAATTTTGCCTCTTTTTTTGGCACTTTGGGTGTTTTATTCAATCCTAATTGAGGTTCGCATTCGTTAAGGATGCGATTAGGCCGTGATTAATACGCGATGTGGCACGGTCGAGCGGTATTCGCAACGATTTAAAATAAATTGTTCTCATTATTTCGATTTCTTTGAAATTGGACGTGACGGTAACTCATTGGAATTCTACCTAATGTGTTTTGAAAGGTTTTGTTCGTAACAAACGACGTTAGAAGAAAATAAAACACGTTTAAACGCGTCGTTGAATTATTTTAAGTCAATGAAACGGGTAAAAAATATATATTTTGTAATTTTAATTAATCTGTTTATTTGCGGAAGATCCTGGGATCGAATCCCGGGGAAACAAAATATTGTTTCGGTCGGGCATAGCACAGAAGTCTGATCAACTAGCTGCTCATAAATAAAACCGATCAGTGAAACAAACACAGAAAAATGTGTCCACCCCCTTCCCCATGCAGAAAAACGGGAGTTCACTTTCGGAAAATTTAAATTCTCTATTGGTTGTTATCAACATTAAAGCTAGTAAAGCATATAAGAAATAAAACCGTTTGAGAGTTGAAAATGTTTTTTGAAAAATACACTTCTGAAGAAAATTATCTAAATTCGCCCGTAGATATTGTACGTAGTGAAAAATAAATCATTTGATATATTATACGTTTTAAATCGTTAATTTATCTAATTACCACTTAATTATCATTATTGATAACTAAGATCGTATATTTTGTATAAATTAAGAAGAATTAAGAGCATAAATGAAAATGAGTCATATTCGGCGAGAGCATTATTTTGCCGCTCAATTGCACTAAACACAGTTCAAAGAAATGTACATTAGCACCTCCTGGGAATCCATACAATGGATAGGCAGTTTAAGTTAACGACTACGTAAATGTTTTATTAATATGTGCGGTTCACCGCGGTAACATACCATTGATCTGAATAAGTCAAGGATGCGTCGCGCGTTAAAATTATTTTATCCCATTTGATGACTGTCATAATACGGCTTAATCTTTAAGCCATTACTTAGATGAAACATTTTAAACGGATTAAAATGAGATACGACAAAATATTCAAAATTATTTTTAGTAACTTTAGATAACAACATGTCAAAAAATCAAACAATCATATTTACTTACTTTAGTTATACCTTAATTTCCTATTAAGTATTTATATTTTAGCCTCTACTGAAAAATAGTAAAAAATTACTAATTTTGAAGACAATTCTAAAATTTGCTATAGTAAACAATCTAGTCTATATAGATACCCTAAATTAAATCTTCGATAATTTTTACTTCACTCGATGGAGGTGTAACATCGCAAGAAGATTCTGTCGAACTATTTTGGCTTCGATATTCACTATAAATAATGATTATGTATAATACAATGTAAGCGCTGATTAATTTTTTAATGCGATACTTTGACGGAATGCCCGTATGTCATTGTGTGCTCGTTAAAGTGTAGATAGCCGAGCGTATTTTTATGATACATTTTATGACAGAAGAGTTACATTTTAGCGGTGCGGGCTGTTTATTGCACTGCCATAGACTCGAATAATGTTTTAGTGCCCGATAACAAGTCGAACGCTTTCTATGTTATAGATACAGACTTGATTGCTTTATCTGTGCTATATTTTTAATTATTCAGATAGAAAGAACTGTCTGTCAAAATAAACAAAAAAAGGTGTTCTTTTTTTAAATAAAAAAAAATCATAAACGACACTAAAATAAGTCCTTTTTTAATTCAGTAAGTTTTATCTAAAGTGAAATTTTGAAACAAGAATAGTGTTTTTTAAACCTTGATTTAGTATCATTTGTTTTCCGTTTAAACGCTGTAACAAGACAGGATATTGAATTATTCTATCTGTCCTCGTTTAACTGTCCCCGGACCTTGTCTAATAATGCAGTTAATCGAATGTGTTACAGAGTACAGATAGTAAATAAGATATAGCGTTTATTACTCTCAAAGTATTTCCTTAATTTATCGTGATTTAAAAATAAGTGTACTCAAATAGAGTCGCCACTGATGGTTCAATGAACTACAAATTAAATTAATGGAAGGTAAAGAGACCTCACTTTTTGAAAACACATAATATGTACTTATGTAGTGGGTATATACGATAAATATTTTTTTAAATTTCTTATATAACAAATATCATGGTCCCTAAAAACACTTCATCTCAAAACTATCCAACCATTTCACAATACGTTAATTTTCCGAACTTTTGACTAAATTCTATAGACTTGTTAGCGAAAAAAGCGTAGCAAAATCAAGTGACGTGTGTTTCATTGATGGTCCGCTTGATTGATCGGTTGATTGGTAGAAAAGCGTTCAACGGTCACGGATCGATCTAGAAATAGATTTTTTACGTACTACGTGATACTATTTCGGATCCGATACTGTCTAATCGGTCCATTTCTTTTTTTTTAACTCTCTTGTCCGACGTGTCAATTGTCATCAGTCTAGTTGTCGCTGGTCTGTGGTAGAAAGTAAATTGGTCGTTTTGTATATTGAATGAAATAGTCACAGGTAGTAAGTGATCTTTTAAAAGTTTTAATTGGTTTGGATTTCATGGTTCCTAAGCAGTGATTCGGTTTCAAAAAACATTTAAAATTTTCCAATGCCAATAACAAATTAAAACTAAAATATTATAGTATAAGCTAAAAGCATAAATATATAATAGGATTAAGATTATAATAAAACTGGCGGTTCTCTAGATGTATTCAGAGAAATCTTATTAGAAACTTCCTGCGATTGTCATAAGTTGACATATGTGTGTGTTGTCATTATCCAAAATTAACAAACACATTATTCAGTCTGTATTTTTTTAAAGCGGTTCACATTAAAAGCGGCGTCGCGAGTGAACGGCTCGTCTCCCATCACGGGCGATTACCGACGTTTGTAGACGGACAGACAGACACGCCGGCACAATGGGCCGTAACCATTCTCTGAGCTTCTTAATTAGGGATAAGTATCCGGTTTTTTTGGTGACAGATATAGGTGATAAAAATATTATATAATTAATATCAAATGAAAATTAAACCTCGTCTTTTTTATTAATAATCTCATTTTATTAATAAGGAGAAAACAGATCAGGTTTTTTCACTTTTTCATTGTTGTATCTATCACCGAGTGGATACCTGTTATAATCTATGTCCCAAGACATATAATATGTAATTCCAAAGTTTCTAATTCACATATCTAAAATGCTATATATTTTAAATACATGTGACAGAACAACGGGGAGATACTAGCAGGAAAGTGCACCTTTTTTTAAACAAATATATTCCGTATAACAACCGTAATAAAGGTATAATACGACTGTGGTTATAGATATTGTTTTGTTTTCTTTTATTTCACCTGAAATAAGTATTGCTAATACTTCGCGTATCGAGGTGGCAGACATTTAGCACTGGCGAAATCCCTAAATAAATATTGACACTATTTAGAATGGATTTTCTGTTTGTTTATTAGTGTGTCGGGCCAATATTTGCATTACGTGTTCATTGGTATATGCTGATTATAACTCTTGGAAAAATGTTTGTGTCAATAGAAGTGACATGTAATGACTTTGACGTGACATCATCAACAATATACGTGTATATTTTTAATATCACATTATGAGAATTCACCCCCAGTAGATTGTAGAACAGTGTTGTTTTATTTATTAAAGCTTGTTTAAGTCGATTTTTTACTTGCAGCGATTTTACCTCGAAAAAGATTAAATTTAATAATAAATATATTTTAAGAAACAATAGATATTATTGATATTTAACTATAACTTTCCTTTGCAGATTTCGATTCAGTTATATTTTACCTAATTTCTCAAACAATTTAGGTATAATAGGTATTTGTACGGCAAAAAAAAGCAATTTCTAGCGTGAACCGATTTGATCTGATCCACATAAGAAAAAAACGTAACCACATTCTCACGAGACTCGGGACCTCGGTCCCAGTTCACACAACATTCGGCAGTACAAATCACGTAAACCACTGGTTTTACGCCCCGTTGACCGCTCTGCAATCGGCTACCACCTAATATTTTATTGAACGATTCAGTTTTACCACAGACACCGCACTTTTTTAACCGTTGGCAATTCACTTGATCTGGGAATTCGATTTGAAATGCTGGCCAGTTAGATTCGGCACGGTTCGTCTATTTTGTCTACGGTTTTCCCTAAACAGATATACCGAGTACTTGGAAAAGTAATCTATACACAAAACAAATAGTGAAACTCGGATGGTTTTAAGTCAGTTATTTCGGATAGAAAGATACTTTCAGACAATTTAATAGTGCCTAGTGAATATTTATTATTCTTTGTAAGACTTTTTTGTTTCTGTATAAACTGGTGCGCTAACAATAGATTGTAACTTGAAGTACTGATTTTAAATTTAAATGCAATTAGAGGCGAACACAAGATCTTTACTATGGTATGTGGTTTTAGCATTAACGTATGATATAAGAAGAAATTAATAAAATACGTACTCAAATAATACAATATTTACTAGTATATAACAATGTTTATAGTGACAGGTGACGTACAAAGGCAGATACTATAATAATTAAATCAAGCATTAATTTTTAGTCAATGATAATTAAACCCACGCATCAATTAGTTATAGTACTTATTCAGTTAATTGCAAATTGGTCTTATTTATCATAGTATAGCGCGTTGGTGTCATGCTATAACAGCTAAAATGATCGTTGTTAATAATTTTATGGGCTGATATTTATAGCATTATTGTGATAATTATGTAATTAAATACAAATTGAGAACCTACATACATTTCTTCATGGCGAGAATATTCATCAAAGTTAATAGACATATGAATATGAATACAATAGCAGATGGAATTTTCAACCAGAAAGTCGAAACTAATGTTACGTTGGTGTGGCGTGGTTAATAGGGACCTGGAAATATAGGACGCTAAGAGGTAGAAACAGGAAGAGATAGGATGCGATTGAAGCGTAAGGCTAAATAAAAGTACCTACCAACTGTCATTAAAAATAAGTAAATTAAACAATTGCTAATAAATAAACAAAATATCAATAGTTTAATTTTGACAGCGGCATTTTACAAAAGCGGGCGCCAAAATACTAGAACCTCCGTAAATCATAGGCGCATAAGCGGAATCCATTTTGAAATATTCATAACTTCGAATTTCGAACATTCCAAATGTAGAAAAACAGTGCACGCGTAATGTACTCCGGCAGTTAGTGCAGCGGCCGTGACAGAATAACGAGCGATGTTTATCTGAAGGAAAGCCGGCTTGGCTGTCGACTCTTCGGCTAATGAATAGTTTTCATCCAGCAATTAACGCATTTGTTTTCAATATGTTATTATTCAAACAATTCTAGCGAGGTAATTGTTAGTTTATCTCTCCCAGAGAGGTTCTGTGGTTGTTTTACTATAAATAGTAACATTACTCTTGAATAAATAAAAATTTAATATATAGGAATACTGCTTTGGAAAGGGATAGTTGAATTAAAAATAGCTACTACTTCTACCGTTTCGGTTATCGCGCTGTTTGGTAACCGTAATTGCGAAAACTGATCTTTAGAGAAGCAGGTGGACCTTGCAAAATGTCGGCGTAAATCTTATACAAAATATTTTTTTTCAGTTTTTTTTTTAATTAATTTATATTTAAATTGTAATATTCAAATAATTATTCTTTATTTAAAAAATATACTTTCACCAGCTAGCACCCATACGCAAGCTACGCATCACAGATGATACAAGTCCTTACGAAAACCAATTCACTATAGTATATCAGGCCGTCTCTCTTTGAAGTTGCTGTCGGCTGATAATATTTTTTACAACCTCTTCAAGCCTAAGTAGTCACAACAAACCATTTGAATCCCTTTTAAGAGCACTTGAGGGATTTTATGTTTTATTTACTGCCTCCCGGTCGTTTGTGGATCACGATAAATTGTCTGTTTTAAGAAAATTATGTGTACTTCAATTAATTAGTAAACGATAAAAGTGGTTAATAGCGGTCATAGATAGCTTGGGACAATCCACGCGACAAAAGACAAATACGAATGATTAAGCAACGTCTGTTCAGTTTCAGTTCTAAGAACATAAAGATTTAAATTAAAAATATATGAATAGTTTAAAACGCTAAATATATTCGTTAACATATTTTATCATTTTCTTAAACTACCTACTTACATCTCCCGTGGCCTCAGCTACTATAAAGCATCCTACGTTGAACGAAACGTTGAACTGGGAAATAGTTCTGCGTTCTGCGTTCTGCATTTGCAGACTGAATACTAGGTAGGTGAATAATGGTCCACCAATACGGATTATCTGTATTATACAGAATATTTAGTTTTACCACTTGAATCAGCACGTACATTTTTATGGTTTCAAAATTAAGGTCGTCGTTAAAATTTCTTATATTATAATATAAAAAAAAAACTCTAAACACTTTCTACATGTCTTATTTGAAATGTGTGTTATCGCATTTTTTTTTAACTTCTGTCCGAAGCATAAACAAACATATCTATTCTATGTTAACGTTTATGGTGCAGGTATATATTTCACTAAACAATTATCCCTTGCTAACGAAGCTGTAAGCAATAATTGCAATAATTTACATAAAACCCATATCGACTAAACTGACAATTATTCCGCTCACGTTTTTAACGTAAAAAAGGTATAAAAAGTGCTGATTGAATAATTATGTCTTTTTTAATTAACTCACTAATACAAAATACGTTCAAATCGTGCATTTGTTTTTGTTTTAATCAGCCTTTACTCGTTCAATTATTTTGCAAATTATGATTTGTTAGACGTGAGGATTAGTTTAGTCTTTTTTTTGACATATACATGTTTAAATACTGTCTATAGTTTACGCGAGTAGTACACATTTAAATAAAACACTTTAACGGTTTAAAACGCGATATATTAGTTAAACTTATTTGAAAATGATTTTTAACTTCGGCCCGGATTTTTAACATTAAGTTTACAATGGAACAGGAGGACAATAACACACTACCTTTCTTAGACATTTTAGTAATTCGTGATGAACACGGTAATATTGGGCATACCGTCTTTAGAAAAACAACCCATACAGATAGGTATTTGAACGGTGACTCACATCACCACCCCAGCCAACTTAGTTCTGTCGGAGTATCTTTGTTTCAGAGAGCCCGCCGTCTCTGTGATGCTGCCCACTTAAATGAGGAGTTACAGCATGTCAAGCAGGTCCTATGCAAGAACAAGCTGAGAGTCCCTCCGCAGCATCCCAGGAACAGGAACAAGCCACCCACAGTCAAACGTCAGCCCGCCTACCTACCATATGTGAAGGGAGTTACAGATAGAATTAGCAGAGTCCTAAATCGAGCTTCTATTGACACAATTTTCAAGCCGCACAAGAAGATTCAGCAATTCCTGAAACCAAGCAAGTGTACTATCCCTTTACAAGATGCAGGCGTTTACAGACTGGATTGTGATTGTGGCCTATCCTACATCGGCCAAACAAAACGTAGCATCTCAAACAGAATTAAAGAACACGTCGCGGATATAAAACATAAACGTCTCTCCAAATCTGCGGTATGCCAACACTCATCAGAAGGGCCCAATCACTACATTCGCTTTGACCAACCAAAAATCCTCGCAAAGGAGAGTCGATTTTTTCCAAGATTGGTACGCGAAGCAATTGAAATCAAAAAACACCGAAATTTCAATAGGGAGGACGGCCTCAAACTATCAAACACCTGGGATCCCATATTAAAAACTCTGGATCCCAATAAACAGCATACCAGCAAACGCGAAGACACCGTTAGTCAATTCTGTAAGGACCCGGCCAGTTTCGCCAAATACCAACTTCGACGGAACAGATGGCGCTAGCGTAGCAATTCTTTACTTTGACGTCTGAGACATCCTCCATCTTTAGTCTCCCCGTGACCACGGCTGCTGCAAAGCATCCGAAACGTCGGGCCGAAGTTAAAAATCATTTTCAAATAAGTTTAACTAATATATCGCGTTTTAAACCGTTAAAGTGTTTATTTAAAGAACTCCACTGACATATTTAAATATACATGTTTATTTGCTTTTAAGTGTTACTACAACTATTATATGATATTAAAACAAATATTACACACATACGTTTTCTATAATTTATTATTTATATAGGAATTTAAAAACGGTTCTGTAAAAACTTCTTTCAGATTTAAGCTTCCATCTTTTTGTATTAACTTTTCTGTAATACGTTTTTTCTCTAACTTATCAACAGACTATAGCAATGTATCACAGATAGCAAATAAATTGGTAGCGGTTTATAAATCACTGGCAGGCAATAATGTGGGCTCAGTCGATCCCTTGAGGCACCCCAGAGTTCCAACTTCCTTTTGTCACCTAATTGCCTAAATTGTTATTAGCCGGAATAAAGACATACGACTTTATATTTATAGAGTGGATGAAAGATGTTCTTTTAATAGTGTCGTTACGCTCCTGTAATGATGGAGTTTTGAGATTTGTGGGGCTGACTTATTTAGAGTATAGTTATTGATTATCAGGATTTCTTATTTAAATTAGTCCTTATTATTAAATATTGTAAAAAAAATGTTACTGACTATTAAGTAGAAAAATAGACCTCGCATCAAGGTTTAATAATTTATATACTTCCCTAATAAAAAAATAATAAAACGACCTACTAGTTATATCATTTAATTTCATACTAGTTATAATACTATACATTGCATTTAAAAAATAATGAGTTTTATCTCATTTACCACAATTTCAAAGCAAAAACAGTAGTAAAACGTTTAATTCTACAACATATTAATCGTCAGCAAATAAAATATATTATGAAGCAACATTTTGTGTGCGGTCCTCACGAAGTGTTGCCATGTGTTTCGAGTAACCAAAACATAACGCCCCGCTGACAGATTTAAAAGTCAATCGCTTTACAAAAACACCTTTTATTTGTTTAACTTTATTTGTAAACGTTCGTGGTCTTAATGTGTTAATGAGGTTATGACATGCTTGCATCGTGCATTAATGCATTTTCGAATTCCTACCTAGATTTTTATGAAAGGTAACAAAGAAAAAAAGACTAAAAGCCGCGCAAAAATAACACAATAAAAGACTGTAGCATACCCAACCCCTTCTTGAAACATTAAAATTGGATTTTAAAATTAACCGCGCCGCCAATAATATTTACAACCATTTTTAAAAACCCATAAACCATAATGCTCATAATAAGATTCACTCAAGATTTCGAACTTATAATGCACAGACTATTGAAATGTGATTGAAATATTGGCCACACTCGAACAAATTGCATGTCTGTGACGCAATGACACATGTCACGTTGACAGATATATTTAGTCAGGATGGCGTGTTTGTGTGTGGCATTGGTGTAAAAAATTATATCCGAGATTTTTTTCGTGAAATTGTAAATTGATAATTCAAATAGATACTTATTTTTATTATTGTTCTGTTTAAACATAATAACATACCTTTTTATTAACAATGAACTCAGCCAAAAAGAAGAAATTCATCAAGTTAAGATAAACCTAAGTAAGTGTCGCTGACAGATGGTATTCCGATTTTGATACTCAGCATAGATATATAATCATTCTGAACAGATACAACCTCACACCATATGGCAACAAACGATTTATTGCTAGCCGATAAATTAAAAAAGCTAAACTTTCCTAATACAAGCTAATATTTCATTCGGCCCGAGGGATTTGAGCGTTAGCTAATTTCGTCCCCCGCAATTTGTTTCGTGCCTAGCTAATTGAGACGTATGTTAACTCTATGATATTAACATTTAGACAATGATCGTGTAATGGCACATTCTCTACGCTCGAAATTGATGGCTACTGCGTATCAAGTACATACTTACCTCTATAGAGAATAGACACGCAAAGGTCATTATGATCTATGACCAGAGCCCAGCTAATAAATCAGATAGGTCCATGTAGATAATTAATGAGCACTATGTCTTGACAAATAATAATTTTTAAAGAAAATATAATAACTAGATATTATAGTATACAATCTGCCACAGATTATGCATACTTATATTTATGTATGTATGTATAATCTGTGGCAAGTCTTAGTATTTCCTCTAATTAATAAATTAAATTCGAGAGACAGGACATTTTATCGTTCAGCTTATTCGCATCTACTAAACTTATAATAAAAGTCAAATACTAGAATAGACGCCGGTAAGGGTATCCGATTGCAATAAAATGGCGCCAATTTTCCGTGACAAAGCCGCGCTTTGGGAAAACAGTTGGAAACAATCGGTGCGGTGTAAACTGCAATATAAACGTCAACGGAGATTTAGTTTTATCCCCTTTTAGCGATTTATCTCAGACTTTGATTCACGCCATCAGCGCGTGATTATAATCTATGGCTGCTGTCAGTTGGTGTTTACAGGAATAATGTTAAAAGTGAACAAGTTATTTACAAAATACATAAACTAAATTATAAATTATAAAAAATACAAATTATAAGTGTTACCTTTTATTAATCGATGGAATAACGTTAATTAAATTTCCACTTAACATAGTTTAATGTAAATAGCGTATCACATGTAGTACATTTAAATAAAACTTTTCTAGCGGTTTAAAACATGAAACATAATTATTAGTTTATCTTATTTATAAATTATTTTAAGTACGGCCCGACGTTTCGGATGCTTTGCAGCAGCCATGTCTCCATGTGATCACTTTTTAAACCCTTAAAAGTGTTTTATTTAGTTTCATATAAATAGGTCCATAGTTTATAATAACTTTAAAGTTTAACTATATTAAAGTAATATTCCAATAAGCAAGGATTCAATTATTCGGGCAGGGTGCAGAATTTACTACTGCCTATAAATGAAATCGAATTTTGTAACGGACACAAATATATTTGTCCCATGCCCCAAAGTGAGGATCAGGATCTCACTGTATCAATATACTTAATTATTAGTTCTGTGTAGTACAGAAGTAATGTTTAAAGGGTGTATTGCTTGTTTGAATAGCGTACGACTGACTTGAGTATGGCTGTCACGTAACGGCGTCCCGAAAGTCCCTTTAGCAAACAAATGCGTTCTCGGATTAGGGTGACGACGTAAAAGGATAACGGCACTTGAACCGTGCTATTTCCATTTGTAACAATTACTTGCTCACTGCCCCAGATGGAATTGAAATCTACAAGGAACGTATCGCGGGAGATTTGCTTTGTTTTTCCCTAATACTGTCAATGTTTTAAAAGTGTAAACATTATAAAGTTTATGAACATCTAGATATCTTATGGTGTGGGTGCGTATGTTACTCCTAAGGTTAAAAGTAAGCTAATATTGTTCAATGAATAATAGGTATCAAACAACAAACAAATTTTGATCTGAAAACTCTGCTATTAAATAAGACAATTCAACAAACCCTCCAACTAGTTATTATGGATTTTCTGATATTCTCAACATAACAAAAAATTTCTTTTTTTTAACATGTATTTCTTAGGTACAGTGGTAGTACGATTAAAATTTGATTTTTCAAAGTCATGATGTACAAATACCAATCGAACGTTCTGATCTAAATATTTTTGTTGGCTCGCCATACGTGGAACTGTTGTCCATAAAGGCTATAAATAGTGTGTTTAAATAAAATAGTTTTGGAGTTTAATACGCGATATATTTTAGTTAAACTTATTTGAAAATTATTTTACTCGGAAGTTTTGGTGCAAAAAAATTTTTTTCAAAGAAATTGAACTATTATATATATCGCTTTTTAAACCGTTAAAGTGTTTTATTTAAATGTGTATTACTTGCGTAAACTACTTTAAAGGCAGTATTTAAAATAATGTTACTTAAAATTACGATTATATTATTTATTTCACTTTGGCTTTTTACAACTGTTTGGTATTACAACGTTCCTTTCGAACTTGAAATATCAAACAGTGACTAGACAATCCAGCTCGGACCGCTGGTCCCAAGTTAAAATGATCTACGGTCACAGGGAACTAGTTCAAGAATTTTCGTTAGCGCACGTTAAGGGTGGTAGGGGGTTGTCACCAGCGGGGCGTTTTCCATTTCACGCTCCGTTGAACACTGATGACACCGCATTCCTACGACCAAATGGCTCGACAAATGAACAGAGGGCGCTGCAGGACCCGCCCCGACACGTCATAACTGTCACTCGTGTGGGGCGACTCTTTGTATTTGGGAATTGACTCGGATGAGAAGTACTTGATAAGGAGGGCCAACGTATACTTCAAGAACTGTTACGTATGAAAACAACGGAAGAAACGGAGCCGAAATGATTTTCAACCTAACGCCTTTAAATAAATTAGTGATTTAATAAACACTTCAACGGTTTAAACGGGAAATGTATTAAACTTATTTAAAATGTTTTATTTAAATGTGTACTACTCGCGTAAACTAAGGACAGTTTTGATTTGAGATTAGATAGACCTACTTTGTATATTACGTTACATCGTTTCTTTTAATAAGGATTTAGTGAAAAACACTTCGAAAATGCCTAAAATTTACTTAACTGTGTTATTGTGGGTTATTTATTCGTTATTATTTCAGATTTTTTTATATTTCGAATTTTAAATTTACTCCCCATACTTACGCTAAAAGCAAGTGAACTTACGAGTAGATAAGTTAACTCTCTCGAGTTAATAAGTTCGAATTACATATATGTATGTTAATCAATTTAGTGCCTGGTAATGTTTAATAGAAGGACTAAAGTTTTAATAAAGACTAGAATTGAGAAGCGATCAGTAGTAGGTACCTACAGACGATAAAAATTCGCAATCGCACAAAGGCGTCTGCGTAAATCATCACGTATAATTACCTATGTACCCGATTATTAATACAAAAGTAATGACAGGGCAGAGACAATTACGTTTACAATGTTATATCTGTACTGTGTGTAACAAATTGTGCTATTAGCCAGCTTAGATAGCATTTCATTCGAGTTTAATTATTGCTTTGTAAATTATATTGCAGTTAAGCAGACACGTGTAATCAAATATTATTATGATTTCAGTGTTGTAAAGGGGCTTTTTTACTTTAAATTGAAAAACACGGGCGGGACTAGAACCTACGAGCACAAAGGACTGCGATGTTGCTAGGTATCAGATAAATAATCTTACTATGTCGCTTATTTTTACCATATGGACTAACAAAAAAATATATTTATGTAAAAATATAGTTGGTTTTAAGAGGAGATATAACATATTCAATGTCTTTTGTATAAAATTTATAAAAGCTGAAAACAGGTACTTATGGCATTCTTAATTGAAAACGATTAAATCTTGCCTAATATCCTTTAATATATTATATGACATATTATAGAATATAATATTAATTTCATACAAGAAATACAGCTGTTTTATGAAAACTTTACGTATTCAATGAAATTTTTTTAACTGAAAACCTTAATGAAAGTGAGGATAAAGTAAAAACCTGTTCTTTATCTTCAAAAAGTACTGCTACTCCAACATTTCTCATAGGAATGATTAACCAGCTCACGTAATGACTAAAATGAACCAGCACTGCAAATCTCTGCCCTGGTATGCCAATGGTCGTTAGGTTAACCACGGTGACAACCATGGTGCCAATCGTCCCACAGTCGGACTCGATAAAAACTGGACTTATTGTCTGGACCACTATTAAATTCAGTGCGCGTGCCTCACTTTTATAGTTCCAAGAACAGTCATTACTGCATGGATTTGCTTTTTGTTTGTCAATTATAATACGTTTTTTGTCTTTAAACAATCGTTAAGTTAAAGTTATTTACCGATGATATATTATCTCTTATCCATAACTAATTGTATAAATATGAACGTGTGTTTGTTTGACCTTTTTACGCCAATATGGAGCCGCTAGATACAGAGTAGCCTAACTGCAATTTTATGTCATGGCTTATTTATTGATTAAAAATTCGAATCTACAAGAGCACAGTGACTGATAATTCTTTATATTAATATGAATGCAAAGTTAATTGTACGTTTTTATTTTGCTTCATATTGAAAATCATATTTTTAGCTATCCTTCTGTCTGAGTTGGCCTCTCTGTTTATCCATTATTGTTATAATACTGCAACGTAATAAATTGTCTTAAGTATTAAGTTTATTTTTATAATACAATCTGTTATTTTTTATCTACTCATCTTTTATAAATACATTTATTGTTTTTCTCTACCTCTACTGCATTTCCTATTTTTGCATTAAAGTTTAAAAAGTATTTTACTTTCGTGCTCCTTTACCTTCTTTCAGTCTTCAGTCAATATCAAGGATTCATAAATAGGAATAGATATCCTTCGATTCAAATGAATCGAATACATAGTGGCCATCGATTATAATACCGATGCAGAGTAATCGATTCGGACCCGACGGGGCGCAACCCGAGACAAATCCGGTGACGCGCTCGCAGGTGGAAGTCATGACCATTTGAAAATGGAATTGTCATTTTCTTTTTCCATTATTTGATATGCTTGAGATTTGATGCATACCATTTCTGTTCAAGGTTCAAGATTCAACCATTTTAGAGTTCCGTATGGTAGATATGTACATGGATGAAAATGGGTTCTCATGACTTTGCAATGTCTCCGTCTTTCTGTATGTTATCAGTATAACACAAAGTACGATAAATATTTACGGAGAACACTTTAACGGTTTAAAACGCGACGTATTCGTTAAACTTATTTGGAAATGATTTTTAACTTCGGCCCGACGTTTCGGATGCTTTGCAGCAGCCGTGGTCACGGGGAGACTCGAGATCGGGCCGAAGTTAAAAATCATATCCAAATAAGTTTAACTAATATATCGCGTTTTAAACCGTTAAAGTGTTTTATTTAAATATGTACTACTCGCGTAAACTAAAGATAGTATTTACGGAGAGATTATCATTAAGCTCTATTTTGTTTAAACGAACAATCCAATTTTGAATTAATTCATAGAATCAATACTTAAAACATATTTTATTTAGTAGTAAAGTTTTCAATACATATTCTTTACTGCGATTCATGCTTTCAAAATCATTTATTTCATTTCATTTATAATCGTGTAAGATCGTACCACGGTTATTTTACAATGTTTTAGTATTCCTGTACTATTTGTTTATTTGTATTCAAAATCAAACAGCCTTATATGTCAGCCTATATAAGGGACAAACTGAAAATTAGCCTTGCGGAGCAAAAGCTGAGTCTGATGCCTTTTGGCACAAACTTTAAAATTGTACTCTTTTAATTCTAAGTTTTATTATACATTTTAGTTGTAAGTTATGTGTAAGTCCTTGTGTTAATAAACGGTTTTTTTTTTATTTTCGAAAGATTTAGCCAATAAGCTAATACGTACCATACGTATATGTACGTATTCATACCGTCTTTGCATATGATAGCTTTACGAGTACCTGTCCTCATTAACAAACATAAAATACAAGATAAGTACGCTTCGATGAACGTAAGATGCAAATGGCCACGCATTGTTTATACAATCTGAATTTGTCTGAGAATGATTAAGGCTGTTTGATGGAGTACTCATTTATGGAAATAAAGTTGATTTCCAATGTTAATGAAAACAAGAAGTAAATTGAATATAGGAGAATTCTATAGACCTGCACAATCAGCCAGTATTGAGAATCTACTTAAAACTCTTAAAATTGAGTTGTATATAAATTAATTCAGTTTTTATAGTATATGTTATGTGATATGTGTTTTTACTTACTAGCACTGTACAATATTTATGTAAGGTAATGATTAATATATTTCCTGTTTTCTAAGAATTAGAACTCAGTTTACATTATCTTCTTGTTCTCTCTGTGGAAAAACGGTCAAGATTACCTTCCACGCTTTAAATAAAGTCTAGATAACTAGATTACATCTCGAAACGAAATGGAGACAATTTATGAGGCACTTGAGACATAAATCTAATGCAATCGGCTCAGATCTCAGACGGATTTAGCATCTGTGCTCGCAACCGTTATGTTTAATTAGTAATCCGCTGCTATATACATGTGAGTTATTCTCGCGGGGATTTATTTTCGCGAATAATTAGCAATGTGTTGCCGGTGAAATGTTTTACTACCTTTATAGAATCCAAATTTGAAATCTCGATTCCCTCTGGGCCGTTGGAAATGTCTGTTTCAATGATCGATTTTATTCACAAGCAACTTGTTTATCTGTCTTCTATTGCCTGACAGACCTAAGCCGTTTATCGTCTCCTTGAGATATGAACCCAGGACCCCTCGTGATTAATCCATTAGGTACAGAGGTGGTCAACATTTTTTTTTAATATATTTTTTTATGATAGAGGAGAACAGAAGAGTTTTCTTTAAGGTAGCTGAAATACCTCGGTCATTTAACATCTAAGCAAGACCATCTGTAGACCTATTTTGGGTATGGATATTCCGAAATCCACAGACTACGTCTTGTTATACCTAAATTAATAAATACCTTATTTGCTGTGATAATAATAACGTATTAAATAACACATTTTTTTTATTTACATTTGACAACGTAGCAAAAGTAGAATAATTAGTAATTTGTTATAACACACAAATTAACAACTACAAAACTACTAGCTAAACTAAGTACTGTAGTGAAATATGGCGTAGGCATTTTATATAGATATAAAAAAAAACTTATTTTTAACAGAAAGTGTTACCTACCAATATGTGTTTGTATAAATGTTAAATATTTAAAATATTTAGATACTTATGTGGCAACCAAAATAATATTGAAATGAGAAAACACAATACGCTTATTGAATCGAATATCTTGCTCGCGCCTAATCAGTTCAATCGACCGATGCTAACTTTATATTGTTTGCAGGTGCAGTGGAGACATGTGCTAAGTGGTACGAATTGAATGACACGTTTGGATGGACGCTGGAGGGGAGAATGTACGAGGGGGCGTTGGAGATGATCCTCACTGTGAGATGCCAATAGTCATCACGGTTATTATTCTATTACACTTCTAAAAACACAGAGAGCCGAGACAGTTATCTAATCTTTTAAAGACTGGAATTAATGGGCTGGCTGTGGTAATGGTAGCGAAATATGGCTAATAATCAACGGTTGGTTCGATCCCCACCCGCACTCACATTTTTCTAATCAATTTATATTTTTTCTGAATCATGTTGGACTTTGTCTGCGAATATGGGTATTACATGGGTGATAGGAATATCGAAATTCCATCCGGGTAACGAACCACCGTCCAAAGATAAAATGCCGAAGTTTAATTTCGTTTTGGTTTCCGACTTTCCGACTTTGGATTTACAAATATCCAAAGTTAAAATATGACTGGCGTATTTCACCTACCCAGTGAATTCCTTGCTCGTCTATTATTGTCTATCTTCTATATATATCTTAAAATCTCTCGCTAAAATAACACTATCAAATGTCGTAATCTAATGTAAAAATGGCGTCAAATGTCACTAATTCAATAAACAGTATTGAAGCAACCAATAACAGCTTAAAATACCAATTTGACGCTTCAAATGAGAACAGTAGTGGGGATTTATTGAAATGACATAAAGTTGCAACCCCGAGTTATCTGCGCGACCGCGTGCGGACAATCGGGGCTTTGTGCTGGCAACACTTTGTTATTTTGTCATTTTCCGTACCACTACACGGCCGTTTTATTGCTTTTTTTTTATATTCGCAGGAGCTATTGGTATGTGTAAGTAATTGTTTGTGATTTTATAGACATAGTTGACAAATAGGATCCTTAAAATTAAGTTGCAATTGAATCGGAATTTCAAGTTGGATTCACTCGTCTAATGGCAGCAATGTAGTGCTTTAATCAACGGGCTGTGGGTTGGAAACTTGCCGGGTCCACGCTTCTGACTCCACGGACTTTGTTGGGTGGTAGGATTATCGAAATTTCATCTGGAGAAAAATCCTTTAATCACGTTTGGGTTTAGTTTGTGGATTTCCGAATGTCCAGAGCGATAGTAGGGCGACAGCTCTTGCTTCATACCAAATGGTATAGAATTTAAACTTCCATTAAAGTGCCCTCATGTTTGTTTGTCTTCTTATGTCATAAAATTAAGTTATCACCCGTTTTAAACAATTCTCATTCCAAGGATTTCCTCATTAAGATGCTCTGCATCAAACAGAACACAACCTACTCTCACATGCTGCTCGATAGTTGGGAGGACCACTAATCAACACTGTTCACATCTTCATAACTAAGAATATATCTCGTTTTAATCTGTTTAATTTATATACCGTAGTTTCGTCAATATGGACACAATTTAACTCAACGCAATCTGTTTGAAGCGCGACGAATCGCCCTTCGAGCTTTAGCCCAGACATTAGTCGAGATTACTCCCTTTGTTTGCAGCCGACTAATTCTAATGTTATCTTAAACTAAATTGAGTCTCACCCTTGCTGACTTTTAATACGGCTAACAAATACATCGAATAAAGGTTTATTCTAGGTATTCACACTCAGCTGGAAATTGGAAGGGTTTGACTGGTTTTATCTTTACATTTAAACGGTTTAAAACATGACATATATTAGTCCGACTTTTTAACTACGATGTAACGTTTCAATTTCAGCAGAAGTCGTTATCACGAGGGGACTTATTGCAAAGGAGTTCACTAATATACTTCCCGTTTTAAACCGTTATATAGTATATATTTTTAACAATTACATTTATTAAATTTAAAGCTACGTAGAGACTGCCGGTGGTGGTCTTGGGTTCGAACTAGTCACTAGGCATCCATTTTTATATGCTTTACACAAATAAGTAATTATTGCGTTTAAATCCGTTTATCAGTGGTGTCTTCATTTGTTTTCGTATTACACATGTTTCGAAAGATATTAGAATGTCTCATGTGTTACCAGGATTACATAAAACAAAAGAGTTCAAGGCACCGATAGTGGAAATGAAACTTGTATGTTTTGTAACACAATGGCTGTAATTTATGTAATTTATTAGTTTCATACAGGTCGCGTGCAAATGGCACCTAACGATTGCGTCGTCACGAATAACAAACACAAGCTTAAACAACCAGCTTCGGCTTATTCACTTGAGCTTATAATGTATTTACGTTAGAAAATAACAAGTTTGAAATTAAATTGAAAATGTTATCAAGAGTGCTAAAGAGAACCTTAACGTCGAAATTCAAATGTTGTCATTGAAAGTAGAAATTGTTCCATATACCTAACTTATTCACTTAGAACAGTTGGTAACGTGTTTAATTCGTTGAGTCTGCTTAACCTTACTAAGTAGGTACAATCAGATCATATATACGATTATACGATTTTAACTTTAATACGATATTTGTTGAATGAAATAATCATTTGCATTTCAATGTATACAACATATAGGAAATTAAAACAAATAATAACTATTATTCCATTTCCTAAAATTTGGAAATGTAAGAAATAGCGATATTATGAGTTTTCCTATTTTCCACAAAAAGAATTATGAAGAGCCAGTTACTAGTGTGTTATTGAAAATGACATTTAGCAATTGCTAAACAGACCAGGTAAGATTGTGAACATAGAGTGATTATGACCGCGTACGCAATAAAAGAAAGCTGCACCTCCCACCAAACAAATCGACTTTTTGTGGTCGCTTCCTATACAAATATTAGGCCGAACACACACAGACCGACTGAAAAAGCCGTCCTAACGAGTCCGACTACCGTCTACCGGTCAAAGCGGCCGCTCGGCCCGCGAAACTATGGGGGCGTGGCGCGTCACGCACAAAACAAACGACAACCGAATGACAGAGACGCCGCTACAATTGCCCACTAAACGGAAAGGGACGGCGCGCGTCCGCGAACAAGACTAATTTAAAACTTGGTAATAATTGATGGAGAGTCCAAAACAAACAGAGATGGCTGACAAAAAACGATGGCGGACGAAATCTTCATTAGCAGAGGGCGCCACCGGATTCTTAATTTAAAAAACGGTGATTCGACATTATACGCGTTGTTATGAAAAACCTATTTAAAACGGGAGCTACAAAAACAAAGTACGGAATGACAGGGCTAAATTATGCCGCTATACAGGGTGTTCTCTGGTGGAGTACTTGAAGGGCTTTTGTTAAAAAACAGATCATTGATAATAGAACAATCATAGTCTACCTGTAACTAGTTAAAACAACACTAATGAATACTTTAAGGTAGACGAAGTAAATATACTTTTGTTGTTTACATTTTGGGAATATCTTAAACGCTACGAAACAGATGGCAGTTGCACGGTTTTAAAATTTTAAAGTAAATGATAATAATTAATATACAATGTGTACCTAATATTTAAATATATTATATTGAAACATAAACACTTTAATAACCTCCTCTTAAGTGGTATTTATTCTCTGAGATATTACCTACATATTTAATAATACATTTTAAACGGTTTAAAACGGGAAATATTTTAATCACTTTATTTGTAACTACGGTATAAAGTCTTTGACCTTGTAGCACCTTTAGACACAGGGAACTACTGTATTCGAGAAAACAAAGATAGGTTCTCTCATAGATATTTGATTAGGTAGGTAAGTTCATATAATTAAAATAAATCGGGATTCAACTTTGAAAGACACTCTGTAGTTGTTATTAGCAAATTGCGTCCGTTATAATGAAATTACTTAGCAGTACCGTCAGTTTGTTTGTAATTAATGGTGTAATAAATTTGGCTCAATCAAGTGGCAAATTAAATAAGCTTTGAAGCGATCGGTTTAAATGCACCAAAGGTTTAATGTTGCAGAGGTAAAATTATAATGATACAAGCATCATAAATTATTATTATCGTTTATTGCGAATATTTGTGGCTATTTTATGTAATTGACGATGATTCGATTATTATAATTAAGCTTATCGAAATATATCCGTCCCAATAACGGATGTGCTTTCATCTGACTCTTGTTCTATTTTTAAACAATTTCTATACTAATATATGAAGCTGAAGAGTTTGTTCGTTTGTTTGTTTGAACGCGCTAATCTCAGGAACTACGGGCTCTGAAAAAATATATTTTTGTTGGGTTTTTTTTTTAAATTAATATAGGTACTAAAACAGAGATGAATACTATTTCTATTAGTTAATACTTAATTTTAATATATTACATAGGTATAATAGGACTTAAGTAGGTACCTAAATGAAAGCCTTTATAATTGAATAGCTATAGATAACCATCTTAATAACTATTTGTAATTATTGCAATAATATTAAAAGCATTTGCGTTTTAACCTCAGTAATCGTTCGTTGATAGGTTTGACATTTAGCTGCTTGCTTACAACAAGTAGGTACTCTTCGTAAGGCATTTATTAAAATCACGATCTGTCAAAGTGACAAAGTATTTCAAGCTATTGATCAGTACATTTACGATAAATTGAGAAATACATTCTACGTATCTTATGCCATAACGACACGACACGAAAAATATTGCCAAGCGCAAAAAACTGTCTTGGTTTTTTCGTCTCGTTCGGCGCCAGATACCGCACTTGGCAACACTAAGCAGAATCTTAGCATAAATATTATGACATCCTCGTAAGTGAGCGTTCAGATACGAAAGTTGAAACCTTTAAACACGCGTCTCGTTTTAAGTTGTTTAGTAGTTTACGTGTAAAAATAAAACAGCTTTTAACGGTTTAAAGCGTGGTGTATATAACGACATAAAACAGACCTGTATCGTTAGCAAATAGTTTTAGTTTGATAAACATTGCTATTTGTTGCTCTGTGCCGGGTTAAAACAATTTTAATCCCTAGTTTGAACCCTGCACGTTTAATTTAAATTAAACTACAAAGGATGTACGTGAACATTTTAAAGAGGTCCCGTTTTAGTGTGTCCCTTTTGTAGTAAAAACTGGCAACACATTTTGACACAAAGAGTGCATTATTCAGTTGGGTTACGCAATACGTGTGGTCCGTCCTTTGTCTTAGTGTTAAAACAACAAAGCAATAAATAACCTCAAAATTCATCCTAATTT